GGCGGGTGGTGAGTGGTGGTGGCAGAAGATGATGGTGGAAAATGGTGGCAGGTGGTGGCTAGTGTTGGGTGGTAAAAAAAAAAAAAACTCAAAACTCAAAACTCAAAACGGAAACACATTTTTTGAGTTTACATTTTTTGCCCAAATTTATAAACTGAGACCACTGATTTATAAATCAAAAATTTACCAAACAAGTTTTTATTTAAATTTTTGTAAATATAAACAAAAAATTAAAAACGTAAAGATTACCAAATGACACCTTATGATTTGTTTACTATTTTTAATAGTTTTTTAATTTTTTTAAAATCTGGCCACATATGATTTATTGAAAATGGAGGTACGGGGCGAACTTTTTATATTCAAAAATAGCATGCTAGTTGACCTTCTATATCCACATGCTAGTTTCATAAAATCTGAATCAAAATTTAATATTTCAATTTTTTTTTTTAAATTATGGTTCTAAAATAATGTTTTTACCCAAAACACAATAATATAATATATAGAAGTCTTGAAAAAGATAAATCAAACAAAAATAGTACCTTGTCATCAAGATAGGCAGCCCAAAAGCGAGCAAGGGCACCGTCATAGGGATCAGAAGGGAGGATAGAGGGACCAGAGGTCCAAACCTCATCAATGTATTGAATGATGATGAGAGACTCACATATAGACTTGCCACTATGGATGAGAACCGGCATTTTCTTATGAATCGGGTTGGATTTAAGGAGGAGTTCGCTTTTGGTACCTAATTTCTCTTCAAGAAACTCGTATTTGATGGACTTCAAATTAAGGGCAATTTGAACCCGGTTCACGTATGGGCTAGGCGATGCACCTAGAAGCTTTATGTCACTTGTTGCCATGTCTAATTCTCTCTCAACTTACAGCAGAGGGTCTAATTATTTGTGCTGTGAAAAAGAAAGCAATGCAGACTTTGGTGGTGGGTATGAATTGAAGGATGAAGGAGGCTTGATATTTATTGAGGGTGTGTCTTGAGGAAAAAGAAAGGAGAGTTGATTATTCACCCAAAAAAAAGGAGAGTTGATCATGTGGAGGTGATTGGCTTTTACTTGATAATGATACCACCCTATGCACAAGACCATAAAATAAGTCCATAAATATAAAAATTATGGTAAATAGCGAATCAATGGTAAGTCAAAAAATAAATGGATCCTCTTACTTTATTTTTATGAGTTTGATTTTTAATGTATCAAAATTTATCATTAAATATAAAAACTTTCTCCAACTTTTACTGAAATGGTATTTTTCTTAAAAATTAATTACACAATCAAATAAAAAGTATATAAATTAATAAATAAAAATAAATTCTGATTTTATTAAAAAATTATTTATACATATTTTATTTTATGTAAAATTTTATGATGAATTTATGTGCTCTTACTATATGTAACATAAGGACCCTCTTAGAGGGTGTGGACAATATAAAAGTGGAGAAACTAAAAGGGAAAAAAAAAATTATCAACACTGAGTGTAAGCATATTTAGGTCAAGTTTGGGAAGACTAAATAAGTGTATTTTTTGACTTTTTATGAAATATGGATTGGATTTGGGTTGGGTTTGAAGTAATGTGTTAGAGAGGTGATGTGATTTAAATAAGATGATGTGACTTAAATAAGATAGTGACTTTTTGACTTTTTAAATTTTTTAAAAGATGCCAAACTTAACCTTATAGTGGAGTGTAAATGAAAAATTATAAAGTTTATCTATTAATTATTTTTTTCTATTTCTTCCCCTGGATAGAGTTCTCCCTATAAAATACGAGTGGTTAGTCAAACCGTGGCATGGAAGTTAGCTGACTTTCTTTTACGTAATCGAAGTCGTCATTTGGGATGTCAACATCGAGTTTTTTTAAAAAAAAATATTCTTACAATAAAATAATTTAGAGAATTGACTTAGGCTCCGTTTGACAAGAGTTAAACGAGATTTTTTTGACTATTTTAGTCATAAAAGATAAAATATATTATTTTAGTCACAAAAAATAAAATATCACATCCAACCTAAATCATTGCATTCTTTTCTCACAAAAAAAGCCAAAAAAGTCAAAAAGCTAAAAAGTCCTTTTCCAACCAAACTTTTTAGCCCAGGCTAAAATAGCCAAAAAAGCCAAAAAGCTAAAAAACCAACCCACTTCCCAAACGGAGGCTTTAATTTTCAAATTATTTAAGAAATTAGCTTACTTTTTGAAATTGTATTTTGAAAATGTAATTTTACATTGAAATAACATAACATGCAATTTCAATTTGAAATCACATATTCAGTGGCGGAGGGAGCATGTGACCAGGGGGTCACGTGCCCCCCTGGATTTTTGTTTTTTTTTTTTTTTTTTTTTTGCAAACATAAAAAAAAATTTAAATAAAAAATTACAAAAATATTATTAGAGTAAAATGTCAATGATATTTTTAAAATTATGAAAACAATAACGGTTGTTTTGATTGAAAATGAAGAGACTATTATAAATAAATCATATTAGCTATGAAAATTTTTTAATGTAACGATGATGTCATTATTAGTGGTATGCGAGTATAAGTAATCTCACTATAAAAATATGAAATTTATTAGATTGTTAGTTACATTTGATATGTGAGGTTCACTCTTTATGCGTTTATTTACCATTTAGTGGGTGATATTACAAACCAAACCAATGATGACGTGATATTACCATTACAACAATGCTAGAGGGCCACAATTTTTGTGGCCACAATGGCTCAAGATTGTCAAAACGACGTCGTTTTGGCATGTTTTGCACCAAAAAACGACGTCATTTTGACAGTTTTGAGCCATTATGGCCACAAAAATTGTGATCCTCAAACATTTTCCTTACCATTATATAGAATTTTTAATCAAATTTTGTATCAAAAAATAATTTATCATTATATAATTTATTTTAAGGCTTATATCCATATTTGTTTTTGTGTTATCCATAATACACTAGTTACAAATAATTTTTTTTTTTTTTGATGTTTCCTGAAATCAATCATAAAAAATTTACGTGAAATATTTTCATAAAAATTATTATAATTAATAAGTGCCCCCTCTAAATTAATTTTCTGACTCCGCCACTGCACATATTGAAAATGTAATTTTATGATGACATAGATTTCACTAAGATATACTAGCCTGTCACCCGCGATATGCACGGGATAATTATAGTTATTTATGTTTGTTTTAGATTTTTTTTAATATATAAATTATGTTTTTTAAGATTTTTTATAAAAATAATTTAACAATCTTATCACTAACCATAGTGTATGGGAGAAGTTGAAAAATGTACTGCAATAACTATACACTGATTGTATCTATAATTATTTGTGGGAGGAGATTTTAAATGTTGATTAGGAGATTTTGACCAAATCAATAAATGCAGGCATGTGAAAAGACATGTGGATTGAAAAAAGTTAATAAATGCTGATTAGGGATTTTGACCAAATCAATAAATGCTGAGTTTTTTTTTTTTAATAAAAAATTTAAAAAATTCAGATTGATATATTGAAACTCCCACAGGCCTTGGGGGTTAAAAACTCCATTTTGCTTAATAGATAGATAGATAGATAGATAGATAGATAGATAGATTTAATAAAAATTTATATTTGTTTTAGATATTTTTTTAATATATAAATTATTTTTTAAAATTTTCTTATAAAAATAATTTAACAATCTCAACAATAACCATAGTGCATGAGAGAAGTTGAAAATGGTGTAAGAATATGTATGAGAGAAGTTAAAAAAGCTTGTGAGTTGGGAGAAGTCAATAAATGCTGAGGTTTTTTTTTAATCTAAAATTAAGAAAATTAAGATTGGTTTATAAAAATAATTTAACAATCCCATTAATAACCATAGTGTATGGAAGAAGTTGAAAATGGTGTAATTTTGCTTGAATGAAAGCTATAGAGGATTTTTTTAATTATTTAAAATCAAAAAATTAGAAATTTTAGTTTGAGAAATTGAAGCTCCCATAAAACTTGTGGTTAGAAACCCCATTTACTTATATAATACACTAGCCTATCACCCGTGCTATGCACGGGATAATTATAAATATTTATATTTGTTTTAAATTTTTTTAATATATAAATTATGTTTTTTAAGATTTTTTATAAAAATAATTTAACAATCTTATCACTAACCATAATTTATGAGGGAAGTTAAAAATGGTACTGCAGTAACTATACACAGATTGTATCTATAGTTATTTGTATGAGGGGATTTTAAATGCTGATCAGGAGATTTTGATCAAATCAATAAATGCAGGCATGTGGATTGAAAAAAGTTAATAAATGCTGATCAGGGGATTTTGACCAAATCAATAAATGCTGAGTTTTTTTTTTTAATAAAAAATTTAAATTGAGATATTGAAATTCTCACAGGCCTTGGGGTTAAAAACCCCCTTTTGCTTAAAAACCCCTTGAGTGTTTATATTTATCTAATTTCAATTATATTAAAAAATCAAATTATAAACAAAATGAGATAACTTCAATCATACAAATCACATTTTTTTTTAATGCTATCTAATTATAATCACATTTTTCTCATAATAAAAAAAATAATTGAAAAAAAGAACAATTAAAATGGTAAATAAAAAGATTATTTAGAAATATTGAACAAACTACAATCACATTTTTCTTTTTGTAAGTGTTTATGTTTATCTAACTTCAATCATATTAAAAAAATCAAATTATAAACAAAAGGAGATAACTTCAATCATACAAATTACAATTTTTTTAATGATATCTAATTACAATCATATTTTCCTCACAATAAAAAATAATAATTGAAAAAAAGAACCATTAAAATAGTAAATAAAAATATTATTTAGAGCCATTGAACAAACTACAATCACATTTTTCTTTTTGTGAGTTAACTTCAATCATATTAAAAAATCAAATTATAAACAAAAGGAGATAACTTCAATCATACAAATCACAATTTTTTTAATGCTATCTAACTACAATGACATTTTTCTCATAATAAAAAAAATAATTGAAAAAAATAACCATTAAAATAGTAAATAAAAAAGATTATTTAGAACCATTGAACAAAGTAAAATCACATTTTTTTTTTGTAAGTGTTTATATTTATCTAACTTCAATCATATTAAAAAATAAGATTATAACCAAAAGGAGATAATTTCAATCATACAAATCACAATTTTTTTAATGCTATCTAATCATCATCAATAATTAAAAAAACCAATCACAAATTAAGTCAATCGATAATTAAAAAACACAATAATTTATTTTTCAAAAAACATAGTGAGTTAAAAAAATCAATTATAATTTTTTTTGGGGTCAAAATATAATCTAATCATCATCAATAATTGGTACATTATGTGACCCTAATGAGTACAATCCATTTTGTTTTTCAAAAAACACAGTGAGCTAAAAATCAAATCACAAATTAAGTGAATTGATAGTTAAAAAAACACAATATTTTTTTTTCAAAGACACGGTGATTAAAAAAATCAATTACAATTTTTTTTTCAAAATACAATCTAATCATTATAAATAATTGGTACTTTAAAATCAAATCAGAAAAAAAAATAAAATCAAATCACAATATTTTTATACTATCTAACTACAATCATATTTTTTTCATAAATAATTGTAAAGAAAAATCATTAAAACAGTAATAAAAGATTAAATCACTAAAAAAAAGAGTCATTGAACAAACTACAATCACATCACATTGTTCATATAATAATAATAATGGAAAAAAGAACCATTTTACAATCATATTTAAAAAAAAAAAAAAAAAACCATTGAACTAACTCCAATTACATTTTTTTCTTTGTGAGTGTTTATGTTGATCTAACTTCAATCATATTAAAAATAAAATTAAAATAGTAAATAAAAACATTACATAACATTAAAAAAAAAAATTCATTGAACTAATTACAACAATCATATTAAAAAAAAGAGTCATTGAACAAACTACAATCACATTACATTTTTCCCATAATAAAATAAATAAATGAAAAAAAACTATTAAACTAATTACAATCACATTAAAAAAAAGAATCATTTAACTATCACATT